AAAAAAAAATGAAACAACCTACAGTCAGATAGTTATGTAGATACTTGATTAAAAACATAACTAGAGTTGCTCAGTAATTTCAGCTTATAAAAATATTAGTCTGTCACCGCTACATACTTCATGGTGATAGTCAAGCTAGCTTGAAAAAGCAATAAAAGGTAGTCCTATAACAGCAGCACAGTTAAAGAAAAAACATTGCCTAAAGAGAATCAGGCCTGAAGCTTTAGTACAAATAAAAATTAGACTCCTATCAAAGTTAATCCCTGCTGGAGGCCCATTCCTCCTTTGACAATGCCACAGCATTGATCATACAAGGCCTTACTGAAAGTGCCAAAGCCAAAATTACATCTTTAAACAAAAGTGCATGAAGTAATAATGAGCTAAGTGCTCATCTCGTACAGTATCTGATCTGAAGTCTGAGAAGTGGCTCAGGTGGCAATACCACTCTTTCAAACAAAGTGTACCATTTTGTTTTGTAGGTGAAATACCCAGAATGGCCCCCACAAGCGCAGATGAACTGTTATCTTCAGATACATACTTGTATACAATTTCCTAATCCATGGATTTTTATTGTAAAAAAGACTAGTTTGGACTGAAACTAATTGAGAATAGAATCCACTATAATGTCAGAAGAAAAGAAAATTTTGTGGTTACATGTAAACTTGTGATAAGCTTTTTCAAGAAGAGGGTACATTAATGGCGAAAGGGATGGGATACAGTAAGGAGCGGTAATGGCCTATTTATGTAAAGGTCAGGCCAGCCTCATTGTACACTTTGAAGACTTTCTCAATTGCATTGACATAGGCAGCTGTCCTCAGGTCCAGACCCAAGTTGTACTTCATGGCAGTACGCATGATTTGCTGAAACAGAAAAGGTTACATGTGATTTCTGCAAGTTTCTCCATAGGAACTACACTAGTTTTTGCTTAGAGGATCTAAGTTAGGAGTATAAGAGCTGCTAGATCTGTACCAGAGCTCAGATCCTTTGAGGATCAAGTCTCAAATTCTTGATTCCCCTTACAACTGAGACCTGAAAGAGAAGAAACTCTTTCCAGGATTACTCTCTTGCCCCTTCTCAGGTCTCAGATCCACATGTACCTCAGACACAGGGAGAGACAAGATGTCTCGAGTAGTCTTTGCCCCACTAATTAAAAATACTGTATAAAGGGATTAATCTAAAACTGCAAGGTGAAGAACTTAGGTATGTGTCCCAGATTAGTAAGATACAAGAGGACAACTAAAAAGTTTAATTACTACAGTTTTGAGTAGAAAATACTTCCTGATTTCATGTATTACTCTCTAATGTTTACTATACTCTGTTAGAGTTGGCCATCCCTGCACAGAGCAGAAATACCTTATACTCACAGTGACTTCCATTATCACAGACTGTTTATCTACTCCTTTAATTGCAAAAAAATTAGGTACCACATATTTAAAAACTGTTGCAAAGCCATACAAGTTCTTTTCCCTATAAGTACATTTACTAATGCAGTATTTACCCGGGCAGAACGCTCCATTGTATAAGCCAACCCAGAGTGGACAATGTCTTTCTCAGATGCACCCTGCAAAAACAGGAAATGAAATCTGAGTTTAATTCAAACCACAAAAAGGTACTAGTCATATATTAAAGACAATGACACATTGGATTCCCCTAATTACTGAAGCTTGCTCATTTTCTTCTAATGACTGATGTAAGAAACTAAATTGCCTTTACTGTGTTACTTGAAGAGCTAATTATGATCAATTCATAAAACCTCAGATGTAAGCACTGGAGTCTTTTATATGCTTAGCTTCTAGATGCATGATGCTAACATTGTTTATTGATGTTGTAACTACTGTTCTCAGCCTTCAAAGCACACAGTAAATGTTAAACCAAAAAGCTCCCAATAGTTAATAACCTGTAGAAACTATTTCCAATTGTTTTTGAAGACTGCCAGGTTTTAGGAAGGGCATGGATCCCCAGTTCCCATACTCAACACTGTATTAGCCCTGAGCCAACTCCACAATAACTTTGTTCCCATTAAAATTTAAATACGCAAAACAATAAATAATTGAAGAAACTCGTTCATCCTAATTCAGGCTATCAGCTTCAATGTTCCATCGTCCTGACTGTTGTAACTTACGAGTAACTTGAGACCTGGCTTCACAAAATACATGCTTTTCCTTAAATACCAATTTGGGTTGGACATAGAAATTACTAGGCCAGTTTCTATGGCTTGTGTTTAAGAGATCACAGCAATCACCTGAAGCCACAGAACTTTTCTACCACGCTATTCATTCAGCCTAGTATTTACGAAAATGCTAGCATCGTACTGGATCAGGCTAAAGTCTGATAGTTGCCCAAATTTATGTGCATTTCCCCCAATTTCTTCCCGGCAAAGCATGGCTTAATGTTTTTCACAGCTCACTGGATTGTTTCCCCCAATCATTTGTCTCATCTCCTCCTGAACTTGTCTTAAAAAACAAACCGGCCACCCCTTTTAGCTTCCATACATCCCTTGGGAGGGTATTCCACATCCCAACCACCTGCTGTGCTAGGAACCATCCCCGTTCTTCATTCTGCTCCTCACTCCATTGGTTTTGTTTGACAGCGCCTCGTTCTCCTTCACCCTTCCTTCCAGTGAACAATCTATCCTTGCCCATCCATTTTCACATCACTCAGATTACTGCCTCCACCCCAGGACTACTTCAGGCCAACAGGACCTAGGTTAAGTTTTTTTGTTCCATGTATGAGCAGCTTTTGATTATTCTTGTGATCTTTCTCTGAACTTTTTCCACATCTATAATGTTTGAAGATAGAGGCCTAACCTGTGTGCAGTACTCAGAAGGCAGACACGCTCCAGGTTTATATTGTGGCATCATGAGTCAGTCTTATTCTTTTCCCTTCAGAACTATCTCTAACCCTGGATTTGCTTTTTGATTACTATGGATTTCTAAGCTTATATTTTGTCATTATCTCCAGATCTTCAATTTGAATGCAAATAGATGAGCTCACAACCCATCATTTTACATGAAAATTTCCCCACCATGTATTGCTACACATTAGATAATAATGAATTTTACTTGACATTTCTTTACTCATTGATTTAAGTCTTAGAAGAACATTCTACAATTTTTCAGTCAGCTCTTGTCTGTATTATCCTGGAGTTACAGAAACAGTGTACCAAACTGTCTGTGGTGTGGGATCTTGTTGAAAGCTGTCTGGAAATCTAGGCAAACTATTTCAACAAGACATCCAAAACAAATTCTGGTAACGTTTGAGGCAATATTTCCCACTACAAAAGCTCCATAGACTTTGATAGCTAGGGTTCAAAGAAAATATGGAATCTATGTATTTATCAGGTTAGCCAGCAAAAATATCTAGTATTTCATAGCAAACAAAAGCATCAGGAAAAAACACAGGGTTTCAAGTTTTCCTTACTGGCCTGCAAAAAGAATCATTCCCTGTTCCCTCCCTGGTAAAAAAAAACCCCTCACATAGTTTGTCTAAATAACGGAGATAGTCTGTTGCTTTCAAAAACTCCCCTAGATGAGTGGCAATATCCATTCTAACAGTAGTTACAAATACAATACGTATCTGCATTAAAACTGTAGCTTTTTAACAATATTGGAGGCATTTTGCAGGGGGTCAAGTAAAAGAGATTAAAAATAGCTTACTTCCAGTATTCTTAAGCAGTTCAGATCATTTGCTTGCGTTATTCATTTGACTATCAGGCTAACTATGACTAATGCCTTGCTTGGGGCAAAAACCTCTGTAATAGCTACAATGGTAAAATTTACATTGTCATTATAATATCAGAATACAGCCACAGTAACAGTAAAAAAAAAACCCCAAACAGCAGCTACTTACCGATATCCTATCCTGAAATTCTGCTGTAGGCACCACTGGAATAGTTCCACCGTGTTTCCCAAATTTTCTTTCCAAGCTTTCCTGGACAGACACTAGAAAGGAAAAAAAGCAGAGGCAAGGTAACTGAGACAAGGAAAGGAATGTGTTCCCTTGCAAAGGAGCTCACCCCAGGACTGTCAGGATTCAATGGCATGAAATGCAGACTATAGGGGCTGGGGGCAAAGGGATCCTATTTTTGTTTTCTAAGAAAAAGGAAAGATGTTAATTTATCTGTTTTTATAGGCGAATGTTTCCAACACTAGCAGCAGTATTGCTAAAGTACAGTCACACAGCAAGCAACTGGATTTACTGATCGCACATTGCTAAACTCATAAAGCTGACAGAGCAATCCAGATTAACTTTTCTAACTCAATGAATACCATCAAAGTATTTCCTGAAGTTAAAGCAATGAATTGTCTCCTACTGCACTTTGCATATGCACTGCTTGCTAAGAAAAAAGCCTAATGTGGAATTTTAGGTTTTTTTTCCTTAAGACAAGAGAAGTGCTTCAGTATTTTGAATTGATATTTATTTCATCTTAGTTCTTGTGATTTAATTAGTAAGCTTTCCTAAGCACCAACACAGAGTATTTCAGATGACACAATCCTGAAGTTAAGAAAGGAATTTAAATTAGAATTGCCATAACCCTCAACCACTTTAGAAGCACCTTGAAAGGTATCATTTATGAGAAAAGGTTACATTAAAAAACATTCAGATATATGTTTTGTTAAGTTCTACAGGGTATTGTTTAAAATGGAGCAATATCCTGCAGTTCTTCTCCATTAAGCTTCCTCTCTCCATGTAACTGGTATTTTTGTCCAGAAACTGGGATGTACAGAATGGCCCTAAGTGGAGCTGTAGGCCATAAGCAGATTTTTACAGTGTCTGTACAAATTATATTGTTGCTCTTTACAGAAATCCTCTATGGTTGTATATGCAGAACAATGTCATCCATTTGAACGCTAAATACTTCTCACATAATAAGTGTACAGCTGAAAGATGTTTATTAAGAAGTAGCAAATATTTCACATAAGTGGTTTGAGTTCAGTATTTTCACAAAGCTGAGGAAAGTATCACTTTACAAATTAAAAGGTAAGTGATAAAGTATGCATTTAACTTAAGTCATTAGAGTTGCAAGTCAGTTAATCTATCAAATCTTTCCTACTCGTCCAGTATGCAGCAGTAATAGACTTGTGGGAAATTAAGGTGAATTTAAAATTGTTTTGTATTCATTTCTCCCACTTTTGGTGCTTACTAGTACAATCTATCAATTAAACAGCAAAAGTGGAACCGAACACTTACTGAGTAAGTGGTAGTTTGAATCCCTTTCATACTTAAAAGTCAAGCGTCCATAGCTGACGTGGTTCAAGTTTTTCAGCCACTCAAAGTAGGATACTGTTACACCACCAGCGTTCAGGTAGAGATCCTGCACAGAAATAGTAAGTGTCTTGAATTGTGACCATGTGATAAAGACAGCTCTCTAGTATTAAGCAAAAGCAAGCAGAAGTATTATGCACAAATTATTAGTTTGAACTGCGGTACAGAAGACAATCCAGTTGTTATTCCTACATGACAACACTCACCCTCTTCTGCAGCCCAGGGATTACTTCTACTGATTTAGAAGAGAACTCAACTTTAGAATACATGAAGTTCAGGTGTGCTTGACTGACCACTTTTATTTTAGCACAAATTTTTAATCAAGAAAATTAAGGCATTCTTAGGCCATCTCAGAGAGTAAAGGCTG